TTTTTTTTTTTTTTTTTTTTTTTTTTTTTTTTTTTTTTTTTTTTTAGCTTTCAAAATATTAAAGATTTCCAAAGAATATTATTGAAACTTCCATGAGTATTTTTGGGTATTTTTGAGATAAAGTACCATGCTTTATTAATTTAACCTAATAGGTGTGAAGTATTAAGCTTTAAGTTTTAAGTTTAGTGATGATTTAAAAAGTTCAAAGCTTCAAAAAGTTTTGTAACTCTCAAAAGTAGCATCTAATACTCTTAACCTTTGAAAAAAAAAGTTTTAAAAGGTTCTTACCATTAGTATATGAATAGAAACCATTTGACTACACCCACGGATCATTTCTCTTCTATTTCTCCTCTTTTCTCCTTTTTTTTCTTAAATATCCACTTATCCCTCTTCTTTCATTCTTCAATCTCAAAAACTTTCTTCATTTCTCTCTCTCTTTTTTTTTTTTTTAAATATCAAAACTCTAAATACAAATGAGAAACTCTCTCATATCATAAGTATTTCCAAATATAAATATAAAAAATTTTAACACCCAAATAGTTGATTTGTTTTCAAGTTGGTTCTTTCCTAACTCAAGATATAACTTCAAGAAACTATTTGGGTGTTTTCTTATATTTATGTTTGAAAATGCTCAGAGATGACAGCTCCTATTTATTTAAAAATATGATAATTTAGAAGATAAAAATTTTAAAAAATGGAGGAAGTTGTAGAGATTGAAGAGTGGGATTAAGAGGATATTCAAGAAGAGAGGAATAAAAATTATAAAAAAAAAAAAATTAGTTATTGAGACAATTGAAAAAGATTTTTACCTGTTGAGGAGATCCTTTATCCTTGCCTTTAATCGTTGGGTTTAGACATTACTTGTCTTTAATCGTTTCAAAATGGCAGCAACATACCATTTTTTTTTTTTTTTATCAAAGAATCATATAAATATATAAATAATGGATTCTGATCATATTCTAATAGTAAGGACTTTTTGTTTCCTTTTTCTATTTGAATAATTTCCATGTACGTTGTAATCGATGGTGTGATCCCCAAGCATTACTGCTTTACCTGTGTTCAATGTATAGAGCTCTTAGACTCACTGTTCATCAAGTGCAATGGAAAGCTAATGACTGATCAATGAGCTCTTGTTTGAGTCATGAAATTCAATTGCTTGAAGTTATATATTTTTTATTTGACTTATATCAGCCAATTTAGGGGCTTTGGGCAACTATTATTCAAGTCCTCCCCTGCTCCTTTAACTGTGGTTAGAGAAACTGTGAAATATCTATACTGATATACAATCTTCTTGTTCAGATTACATGGAAAGAAAACCTCATTTCATCTAGTTAAAATACTGTAAGCTTGTAATCTGTTGCTGTGAGCTGCAGTTTTTTAAATTTCTAAAAGTGAGGTTGTAGGTTTTTTGTTTTTTAAGCTTTATGCTGTCATTTTATTTTTCAGAATCTAAATAAGATTTGGAATCATTCAGTTAGTCATGTCGCTGCCCTCTCTTTCTCCTTTGAATTTTAATTTTGTTGTCCTTATCATTCATTTTACAGCCTACAGTTTTCTACGACCACTTTTATGATTTTGGTATTCGTGAAATCATCAACGAGTTAATTGAGGCTCGACAACGTGCTGGGATCCACTGTCGGAGCTCTGTAAAGATCTTCCATGCAAACAATGAAGGATATGTTGCACAGGTTGGAGATACTCTGGTAATGAAGCTTGGACATTTTGATTGGAATCCCTCAAAGGAAAATCAGTTGGATGGGAAATGGCAGAAGTTTGTTGACAAAGGATCAGATTACCAATTGTGGATGAGACAATAATCCTATTAAATGGAGGTAATACTCTGTTCTCCCTAATTGAATTTCTTTTTCAATGTTAAATTGGTAATGCGTGTGTAGTTCTTCAAATTTTACAAACATTGTTGTAGGTCAAGATGAGCCTGTTACCAGCAATAGTAATACATATCATACTTAAGTCACAAAACTTGAGAGATGCATAGCCAAATAACATGCTTAATAGTTAATAGACAATGACTGATATGAGCATATGGTTAGCATTGCATGTCTAGAACAAAGATCCTTTCCTCCCTTCAAAATCAATGTGAAGATGCTGAACTTTCGTCTTTTCCTGGTTTCAGTTCTTCATTTGCCTTGGACCCCAAAATTTTAAGCTCCTTTTGCGGATTAACCCCCCAATAAAAAAAAAAAAAAAAAATCACTGCGGTATTCATATTCTCTTCCAGATATAGAACTCTCTTTAGCTCTACTCGTGAATTAGCTAGTAATAAGATCTATACAGTAAAAGTATTTAATTATGAAGATAAGTTGGGTAGCTGACCTTCTTAGTCTGTTCTTGGACATTGGATTAAATAGGATTTCCTCTACTTAATGGATAAGTATTTGTTATCGATGGAGAATTCTTTCACATCTAAAATTGCAAATTGAGATGATTGGATTTGCACCCATAGAAACCATAAATTTGAACTCTCTTCAAATCAGTTATTATCAAACTACAGCAAACAAATGCTTAGAAATGATGACCATGAAGAATACTCTCGTTTTTTCCTATGAGTTGTTAAATGAACTTAAAAACATGCAAAAAGAATCAGAATAGAAAAATTTATACATTTTGATGATTTTGTGCATTATCTATCAAATTTTCTATTGTTTGGTTGTGACTGCATATTTAGGAGGCCAGATGTGATTTTAAATTGACCAAGATTGAGCCAAGATTTTCAGGGATTTATTGATTTTGCAATCTTCTTCCCCAATTGATGGCACTAATGGCTCAGACAACTTCTCCTGATTTCGCTATATAACCCCTAAAGGTCGCCGCTACATCTAAAGAAGACATTGATGCTCAAGTGAGACGATCAACCACCAACTATTCAAGCTACTACTACACCAATTGCTGAAGAACCCTAGATTTGCAGTATAGAATAAAATGTTTATTGTTTTGCTTGTAACAACTTGATTCTTCTTAAGAAAGGAAGAATCGAGCTAGATCGACAAGCAATCTAAGAGTTCGGTTTCATTTTTTATCTTTGACATTTTGTCCTCTCCCCCCTTTAACATTGAGTTATATTTTATTTTGTGATTGTTTACTTCCATTAAACTTTTTGGGTAACCTCATTTCGATTCAATTTGTGTTTGTCTATTCTTTCCTTACGAGCTAAATTTTTCCTGGGTGTCTTAAACTATGGCATATGGTATACTCAACACTCCAGCAATGAAAATTGCTTTTCATTGAAACAAATGAATAATACATGGTCATATATATATTTATATATATATGTTAAACCTGGTTCTCAAACATAATAAGTTGTGATTGCAAATAAAAGCATGTTTGGGAGCATGTAGGGTTCCTCAAACAATGTGAAATCTCACACCGGGTAAATCCTTAACCCTTCCCCCTCTTACTAAAACTACATAATGTTCTTGTAAATTATGGTCAAGGGTTCCTCAAACAATGTAATATCTTACATCGGAAATCCTTAACCCTTCCCCCTCTTACTAAGACTAAAGGAAGTTCTGGTAAATTATGGTCAATATCAAGTATATAAGATTAAATAAAGTTCTCGATTCATCTTATTTCATCAGATTTGGGATGTGATATGGTTTCGAATGATGAACTAGGTATATAAGACTAAAGAACGTTCTCAATTCACTCTATCAATAGCCGGATCTGGTGTATCATAAGGGATTAGTCTTTTCTATTGATTCCTACGGATTGGATCAAAAACAATTCTTGAATGAGGTATTCAATTCTAAGGATGAATCGAAAAAGAAATATTTATTGGTTCTTATAAGACTAACACGTCAGTTTTGGTTGCAGTCTATTGTCCAACTAGAGGATCTCGTTCAATATTTATTTGAGAGGGGGACTCTTAACGAGTAATAAAATGAAAGTATTCTAAATATCAAATTTCGAGAGAATGTCGTTAGTTGAAGAAATAGAAAATAAGCTACCTTACTGAAATAATCCTACATAGCTAATGATGACGTGAGCAATCTCAGGTGACACGTGGCACACAGGTGGTGTAATAGTGACATGATTAGTAGACCATCTAAATTTATGTTTTTGTTTTTATATTCTAAGGCAAATGGATTTAGAAATATTTATTTGATTGTAATTCATGAAAATTATGAGAACAATATTTTATATGCTCATATATTGTATCCATGTTTTAAATTTGTAATTTAAAAGTTTAGAATATTATTGGAAAGATTAAAAATTTTTAGAAAATAATATTTGGTAATTGTAATAAATGTATAAATAATAAAAACAATTCTAGTTATCAACTAAATATTTGGTTGGATTGCAAGACAATATTATATAATTTGTAGTATATATTTTTAACAAAAATAAAATTACATTTTAAATTCAAACCTAGTTTTAAATTTTCTACCAAACACATATTCAAAAAAATCATTGAAAATATGAGATTCAAATCCTGGTTTTTTTAAAAAAATAATATTTAGTTGGTAATTAGAATTGTTTTTATTATTTAAATATGGCTACTAATCCAGCATTCAACCCCTCTAAAGCGGAGATCTCAAATTGGTTGAGGAACGAACTAAGCATTCCTTATAAGATGTAGAAACCTCTACCTAATAAACACGTTTCAAAATCGTGAGACTGACGGCAATACGTAAGGGGTCAAAACATATAGTATCTACTAGTGGTAGACTTTAGTCGTTACAATGGTATCAAAGTCAAACACCAAGCGGTTGGGCCACCATGGGGGTGGATTGTGAGATATTACGTTGATTGGAGAGGGAAACGAAACATTTCTTATCAGAATTGTGAGATTGACGGCAATACATAACGAGTCAAAGCGGACGATGAACTTGGACACAATTCTCACCTCTTAAATTCTACCCTCAAATTGGCTCTCAGTGAGCACAATTTGTTTTGGGAGATTGGATTGGTGTAACTAGTGCCTATACTTACTTTGAAATTGAATAAATAGGTTAATTTTGACTCGATCTCATAAAAGTATTAGAGGGTAGTTTAATTCAAACTTTACAGGATGATCACTATTAGCTAATTATATAGTTATATTTATCACATACCATTTTAGTAATTAATTTGTTTACAGGATGATTATTTAATAATGTATGAACGTCAGTATGATAAAAGGAAGTTCATCCTAGTTTCATTCTTAACTAGTCAGAGATATGTTCACATTAGTACATACCTAATAAAATGCTTAATTCTATTAATGGTTAAATTACTAGCTGCCAATTTAGGTAAATTTATATTGAAAATAATAGTGTTTATATTTAAAAAAAAAAAAAAGTTTCAATCGTTAGGAAACTTCATTCATTCTAAATATTGATGTGTGTGGCATAAAAGAAAGTTGTCTAGCTAGATAAAATAAAAGTTTAATAAATAAATAAATAAATAAAGCAAATTGCATTCTAAATCCACTTCTTAGCATAATTAAGATCTAATATATGAACCATTCACCATACAACACAAACTTATTAATTGAAACTTTATATAACATAAGGTTTACAATTTTATGTTATGGTATGGTTCTACTTTTACTTTAAGAAAGAATATTTATTCAGAAAAACACATCCAGACATAGGTGTGAAGTATGAAGTGTGTGTGGGTATTATGACTATTCAGCCAAAGCCTAAATCCAATCAGACACATCCCTTAAAAGTTGGCTTTAGCACATGGCCTTCCCTTTCCTCTCCTCTCTATCTCTCTCTAAAAACTTGTCAACATCAGAGCCCAACCATTGAGACACAGACTGTGGCTTCTGATGTCCATCTCACTGCGATAATTAAGAGAAAATGCATCAGAAACCACACCTCTCTTCTGCTCTGCTCTGCCCCTTCTTTCTTTAACTGCATGCTTTGCATTGCCACTCTTCTCTCTCACCGCACTCACCACGCCTTCTCCCTTTCTCTCTCTCTCTCTCTCTCTTTCATTTCACTTCAGCATTTCTTTTACCACATTCAATTTCCCTCACAAACAAATTTACTTCTATTTTTCCCTTGCTCTGTGTTTCCAGGAATTCCATAATTCTAACTATGTGATTTTATAATGAAATGTAGATTCGCAAACGCGAAAGCAATTGCAATTCCGATTATGTATCATGATTCATGAAGGAATGAGTAAAAGAATGATTACCTTTTCTGGAGAATTCTCGAGTAGAGAAATTGAAATCCAACGGTTGTATGTACCTGAGATTTCAACTTCTCTTGTGCGTATTGTGTTGCTCAAAACCTACAAAACTTGCCTAAATCAGAGAGGACAATCAATGAAGTTTGGATGTGCATATGATTGATTCGGTGCGTGTCAAAATGAACTCGTATTGATGTAATGAATATTTTTAAAAAGAAGAAACGAAAGAAAGAAATTCTAAACTTCGCTATTCAAATTCTCTCCACGTTCTCTCCAACCAAACACGGCATGCAAAATGAAAATTCCAGAAAGTTATCGATCGTTTCGACCGTCTTCTCTTCTCAATTTCCTTTTCTCTGAATCAAGAAGAGTAAACTACGCTGATACGGCATTTTCTCTCTCATCGGATCCGTAAAACTCGATCAGCCTCTGCAAAACGAACACCTGATTCTTCAAAAGCACGATGTAATCCGCCGTCTCTTGAAACAACTCCTCCGATCTCCGGTGATGTCCTTCGCCGTTGTTCTGAGTCGGAATGAGACTCTGGAGCGCCTCAAGCCTCGCCGATACGTCTGATGAGCACGCTTTTCCGCCATTTTTGTGGATTCTACGAGCTCTGAGGATCCTAGAACCGTACCTCGATCGCAAAACCGCTCTTCTCGTTGATTGCTTCCATGACATTCTATGTTTCTTTGCGATCGAACTCATCCTGTGCTCCAGTTTTAGAGAGAGAGAGAAAGAGAAATCGACGACAACAAAGAAGAAGAAGTAGAAGAAGAAGCTTTTACGACTGTTCGTTTCTTAGGCTGAATAGAAGTTGAGGACTCATAGTTTAAGTAACGATAAAATAACTGATTACCCCTCTTATTTCTCTTTACTACGAAAATACCACTCAGGATTTTCATTTGTCGTTTTGCGATCTTTTTATGCGTTTTTTTAATGACAAATTAATTTCTTATTTTAGAAAATATGTTCTTTTTGATAATTCCGTAGCCCTTTTCTTGGATATTATTTAATTCACGAAAGTCATTTTAAAGCCTGTATGAATGGAATATGTGGAAGATGCCCTTTTCTTTTCTTTTCTTTTTCTCCCTTTGGGTCAATTCTTATAATATTTAAAACAGAAATTAAATTTTTATTTGGATTAAAAAAAAAAAAAAAAAGGCCTTAGTGAAATGAACCAAAATAAATAAATATAAGTACATTTGAAAAAATTAATAATTAATAAATTAATTTTGAATATAATCAAAGTAAACAAATTTTTTATTTAGAATAACCTTGAAAAATGTACCATGAATTTAATTGTAATAAGTTTCCTTTGATTTGGTGGAAATAATAATTAAAAAAAAAACAAATTCATTTAATGAATTGATAAATTATTGAATGATAGGTGTCCTTTGACTGTACTCTTTTAAACCTATATTTGAAAATTAATATTTTTTTTCTTTAATTTTCAATCATTTGAATAAATATTTTTTGTTTCTATGTTTTTATCTACTTGTTCTATACATTAACTTTAGAATATAATTTATTTTGGATTAAATTATTGTTTTAAAATACATAAAGTTAATAGAAATATTCAAAAATTTATTTGTAATTTTGATGGAAAAAAAATAATAAAGAAAAATAATAATAATAACGAAGAAGAGCGGGAACAAGGCACAACTTGCGAGCGTCAAAGCCAAAGCCTGCTCCTCTGTAACGCCACATGCAAAGGCATGAAACCAGGACCTTTTAGTTTTTATGTTTCCCAAAATACCCCCACCGGTATATTTTCAAAATCATCATTATTAAAAAAAAAAATTGAAAATAATAAATTTTATCGCTCCACTTTTCACATTTAAATCCATTAAAACTAATTTTAAAATTTTCTAAGTAAATAAATCATTTATGTTTACTTC